CACAAACAGACATATGCACACCCATCTTCATCACAGCACGATTCAAAGAGATGTAAACAACCTAAATGCCCATCAACAGATGAATGGATAACCAAATTATTGTACATGCACACAATGGAATACTATGCTACATTAAAGAATGATGAAGAATACGTGATGAATCATCTCACAATGTGGGTGAATCTGGAGGACATTATGCTGAGTGAAATAACTGAAGCACAGAAGGACAAATATTGTATGAGCCCATTACTGTAAAAAGTCAAGGAAGGGTTTACTTATGGAAGGGAACTTACTTTATAGGTTACCAGGGATGGGAGGGAAAGGGAGAGAAAAATTTGGACTAGTTGGGGGCCACATGTTGATTTAGGTCAGGTGAGGGATGGTATGGAAAGAGTCTGTGACCAGGATGATAACTCTGGGGAAAGGGAAGACACCAAAATGTACACATAAGTTATAGACAACAGAAGCAAATACTAGTATATGCGAAATACTGCATTACCATTAACACCAAACACCAGTCTACAGATAAATGCATAGACAACTGAGAAGATCAGATGGATGGCGGTCGGTGAGCAGGAATGTACCCTTGACCAATGATAGATTTAGCTGAAGATGATCTTCCATAGATACTAGTGATACAGAATAACCACAGTTATTACAGAAGCAACAGAAGACAGAGTTGGAATAATCCCTCAGAGACAACCAAACATCTTAGAAGAGAGAATCAGTGGGTCTGCCAACTCAGGACCATAGTCTTGAGGACACCAAGCTCAATTGGCACAACATAGTACATAAAAATCTTTTTCCACAGCCTACTTTGATGAGTAGCGACTGGGGTCTTAAAAGCTTTCAAATGACCATCTAAGATGCAGGTAATGGTCTCTTCTTGTCTGAAGCAAAGAAGAATGAAGAAAATAAAGGGCATTTGGAAATAATTAGTCCAAGGATATAATGGACCTCAAGACCAGAAGAACTAGATGGTGCCCAGCTACCAATGCCAGCAACTCAGGAAGGGATCAAAACTGGAGATCTTGGATAGAGCGGGAGAAAAAGTGTGGAACAAAATTCAAAAAGACTGTAATGACCAGAATTACTGGTCAGATAGAATCTGGTGGGACCTCCAAGACTATGACCTGGAATACCCTTCAGGACTGGAATAGAACTCACTCCCAAGGATTGGCTCTTAGCCCAAAAAGAGAAAGACTTACATGCAGAACACCCAACCCAGGGCAATCCATCCACCTATTCTATGGAGATATACCAGTTGGAGCAATTGGCTGTGGGGCACCAGAGGAGCAGAATTCACATGGAGGGAAAGCTGGATAGACAGGAGTGCAGAATTAAGGGCAGAGGGAGGGGACATCACAGGGAAGGGAGGGGAGAAGAATGAGTTATGATCAGGGATGGTAAGCAAATGTACACGAATTGTTGAATGCAAAACAGATTTTGCTCTGTAAGTTTGCACCCAAAGCGCAATGAAAAAGAGAAAGAAAAAATGATTTGGAAAATTCTGTTTTACAAACTGAGGAGACATGGCTACACAATCTTTTGTTAAAGAGATTAAGCCTGTGACTGATGGATCTAACCAGCTGCCACAGCAGAAAACCCATCAGCTTAGAATGAAAACTAAACCAGTCCTAACTCAAGTAGATTGTCCAACCTTCCTTCAGAGGAGTGGCTGGTGGGTTTGGACTGCCAGCCTTGTGGTTAGCAGTCAGATGCCTTAGGCACTATGCTACCAGAAAGAAAGAAAAGAGAGAACACTTTCTGCCTCATGGAATTCTATAGGGAAGCATAAGCCAAAAGAGCTAGCTCTGTTGTCCTGAAAAAAAGAAAAGGACCACCCTGGAGTAGTTTGGAGATCAGCAGATCAGTTGGAAAAAGCACCAGAAGCAGAGCTTCCTTGATCTCAAAGGGTGAGGCCATGGCATCAAGGATATCAAAAGGTGGGGCCACTGCCTCTGGGGTCTTGAAGGGTAGAGCCATGATCTTCTAGAGTCAGATCTTCAACAATTCAATTGTGGAGTGCCAGGCTGCCATTCAGTTTGACAGAGAAGATGGGTTCCATTGCCCCATTCTGAGGGAGTATTTCTGTCATAGCAACAGTAGATAACTAAGACAGTAAATAATAAAATAATTTAGCATATTGAGGAAGCACATTTGTCCATGAAGGAACATAGGCTGGCTTTATGCTTAAGAGTGACAAGGCTGAGGTGGAAAGAGGTTGTGAAAAAGCAGACAGCTGTTCAGATAACAAAAGGGGTTAGAGAGAATTATTGCTGAATCCGATGAGTTAATATGTAAACTGTTAAACCCACTGACTGAAAAAGTTACCAATAAAATATCTGCAAGCACGTTATAGTATTCAAAATTTCTTCAGTTTTGTTATTAAGAGACAAAGCACAAACCTGTGCCTATGGGTGACTTGAAAATAATATATATAAGTAAAAGAGATCTTCAGGTGTGAAAATCTTGTGGAGTACATATAGGGTAATTACTTCATGTTGTGACTGACCTGCATCTAACTAGGATGGCTAGAGTCTTGGGAAAGTTATAGTGTGAATGAAGTCTTTAAAAGCCTAGGCTGTCATCAGTATTGGAAAAGCATTGCAGAAACATGACAGGAATATTGGTGATATTTATTGAGAAGACTCCAAAAAAATATATGGCTATTCTATGTATGTTAGTAATTCTAGAGATAGCCTAAGAGTGATTAATCAAGTAAGCAGTCATTTGGTTCCGTTCATAATTTTTTCTTTAGTTATCATTTGATAACTCTTATTTTGACTTTATGATATGAAATATATTATTTTAATAATTTTATATTTTTAAGAAGGAAAATTTAATTTCTAATATTTATATTGTAGAGATTTATTAGCCTGCTTTTAGATACCTACTGGGAAATATTGCCATCTAATGGCGATTATATAAACTGAATTCAGAAGAGGAGATGGAACAAGAGATATCATTGCTGATGTCAGATGGATGTTGGCCAAAAGCAGAGACTATCAGAAAAATGTTTACCTGTATTTTATAGACTATGTGAAAGTATCACATAATGTGGATTGATACATTGGCTACAACAGTGGGCTCAGACATAGCAAGTATTGTGAGACTGGCACAGGACTGGACAGTGTTTCATTTTGTTGTACGCAGGGTCGCTATGAGTTGGAGATGACTTGACAGCACCTAACAACAACAACAGTGGGCTGATTGTGATGAGATGCTTCCATGGAACTAAAACCTTCATTTCAAGCTATCCATTATTGAATATTTATGATGTGCCACCAATGTGCCAAGTGTTTTACATGAATCGGTTCATAAACTCTCACAGTAAGCCAAGGAAGCAAAGTTGTAATATTGACTGTGTGGATGATATTAAATTATGGATAACATCGTAAAGAATTCTAGAACACTTAATTGTGTTCATGCAGAATCTGTATATGAATCAAGAAGCAGCTGTTCAAACAGAAAAAGAGGATACTGAGTGGCTTAAAAGTGGAAAAGGTATGTGGCAGGGCTATATTATTTCACCTTACTTATTCAATCTACGTACTGGACAAATAATCTGAAAAACTGGGCTATTGGAAAAAGAACTTGGTGTCAGGATTTGAGGAGGACTTATTAACAACCTATAATATGCAGATGACACAATCTTACCTGTTGAAAGTGAAGAGGACTTCAAGCACTTACTGATAAAGATCAGAGCCTACAATCTTTAGTATGGATTATATATGAACCTAAAAAAAGGAAGAAAATCCTTACAATTGAATCAATGAACAACATCATGGAGTAATGACAAAGAAATTGAAGTCAATGATTTCATTCTTCTTAGATCAACAAGCAATGATCATGGAAACAGCAGTCAAGAAATCAAACAACATATTGCATTGAACAAATCTGCTGTGGAAGACGTATTTCAAGTGTTGAAAAGCATAGATGTCACTATGAAGGACTAAAGTACATCTGACCCAAGGTGGGGTGTTTTCATGCTTAATATACATGTTAAAGCTAGACAATGATAAAGGAAGATCAGAGAAAAATTGATGCATTTGAATTGTGCTGTTGTGAAGAATGTTGAATATACCATGGCATTCCAGAAGAATGAACAGATCTGTCTTGGAAGAAGTAGAGCCAGAATGCACCTTTAGAAGTGAGGATAGTGAGATGAGACCAATCACTAGGGAAGGATAGCATGCTTAGTAAAGTAGAGGTTCAGCAGAAAAGAGGGAGACTCTCAGTGAGATGAAATGCAGCAATAGGCTCAAACATAGCAACAGTTATGAGGATGGCACAAGACCAGGCAGCTGTTCATTTTGTGATATATAAGGTTACTATGAGTCAGAGTGGGAGCTCTGGTAGTGTAGTGCCTAAGGCACTTGACTGCTATCCAGGAGGCTGGCGGTTCAAACCCACTAGCCACTCCTTGGAAGGAAGGTTGGGCAATCTACTCTCGTAGTGATACTGCCTCGGAAACCCAAGGAGGGGTCGCTATGAGTTGCGTCTGACTTGATGTCCCATGACAACAACAACAACAATATAAGTCAGAGTGTATGTAACAGTACCTAATAATCCCTGTTGTACCAATTTGCAGATAGAAGTTCCTAAAGGATCACATAAAATTAAGACTTTGATGCCGTAGATTTCATTGTGAAGAAACTACCCAGTGTGACATACAGAAAACTTAATTATAATTTTAAGTTAGAAGTGCCCATCTTCCAGAAGTCTTAAAACAGTCTGTAAATAAATTAATTTTAGTTTATTTGTTTGTATGTTTTATTTTTTGATTAATGGTTTAAGTTAGTAACCAAAAATACTTGAAGCTGAAAAATACTTAAATGGACTCTAAGTGCCATTTGACTTTAAGTCAAATGACAGTGTTGAAACATATTTTTTATGGACATTTCCAACTTAGTGATGTTAAGTTTGAGTGTCTACAGCACCTCTGAATTAAGATTTATCAGACACTGAAGTGATGCCTCATTTTACTTCTCATACAGCACTTGTCCTACGGCAATGGCAGCTTGCATGTGGATGCTGCCTTCCAGCAGACCCTCTGGAGCGTGGCCCCAATCAGCTCAGGAAGTGAAGCTGCCCAAGGTAAAATCTCCACTCCAATTACAGCACCCTTCCTTGATGTGAAGTTGACAGTCATTTTTGGAATTGTGATAATGAGCTGATGGTTAATTAAGGTTTGTTTGCATCAAAATATTCTGTATTACAGAAATGTGACATTTAAAATCTCCTTTAAATTGCTATTTAAAAGTGACATTGCATTAAGATTTATCTTTCCTTATTTTTATACTGTTCTCATCTTTAGCTTAGTTATGTGTGCTTTGTGTTCACTTCCTAGAAGTTTTTTTCTACAAATTTTTGACCTCAGAATATTCCTCCCCTCAGTCAGACTAATGCCAGGATTTCTCATCTTCTGAAGTTGGTACCTTGTTACTGCATCACAGCAATATTTAGACAGCAGGATTTTCAGAGCAAATATTTGCATTTATTCTGATTATTCTAAATTAGAATAGTTGTCATTGAGTTGATTCTGACTCATGGCAACCTCATGTGTGTCAGAGTAGAACTCCATTGGGTTTTCAGTCAGTGATTTTTCAAAAGTAGATCACCAGTCCTTTCTTCAGAGGTGCCCCTGGGTGGATTCCAACCTCCCACCTTTTGGTTTGCAGCCAGCATGTTCACCATTAGTACCACCCGGGACTCCTTATTCTATAAAATCCTCCATTACACTTAAAAATTCATAGGCTCAGATTTGACCCTACCTATTCTAACTTTGGCATATTCATATCTGAGCCCATGCATTTTTATATTTTTAACTGAAGACTTTATGGCCGCTGAGGTCATGTGTTCTGGTAGGAACATTACTGACTGTGGGGCTCAGGAGTGCAAGGCTCAGATGCATCTGATACCATCTATCTCAGTAACTTTAACAAGTGACATAAGCCTCACTAGATTTCTGTGTCTCTCTCTGTCTCTGAAAATAGGAGATGGGACCTGATGACCTCTGACTATAATAATAAATGACTTTTCCTCCTTCCAGGGTATCTAATTGGTGGTGATGTTCTCCGACTGCTGCATGGACACATGGATGAATGCCTCACTGTCCCCTCAGGGGACCATGGGGAAGAGCAGCGGAGGTTGGTACTCAAGTCCAAGGTGTTGAACCTTCTGGATTTTTGCCTTGATGTGATCTTTAAATTATAGCTGTGTATGTTCAGGACATTAAGAAAATGGGCCACTAACATTCTTCTGTTTGTGGAAGTGATTCATTTTTTTTGGCCTCTTTAAAAGTTCTTTCTCATGTTATGTTTGTATTACATGCCATGCCAAGAGAATAGCTGAAAATTAAAACATATTAAAAAAGCATTGAACACATTAAATTAAAGCACTTAAAACTTCATTAAATGTTCACTAGTTTTGATTAATTCTCTTTCAGCTTTAAATTCAGTTTCAAAGTCAGAGTTCTTAAATTGGCCAAAATTTCAGCACCTTTTTCTATTACTTCATTTATTTACATAAGTAAGAAAGTAGACCACTTCCTCTAATTATACTATTTGATAAAATACCTCTCCCACATTAACATTACTTGGCATTGGGTCAAATGAAAATTATCTCAGTCCACTGGGACAAGTACACAGATATTACAAAGCCATAAAATTATATAGGATGATTTGATTATTGCTGCTTTGCTTCATGAATTTATTCAATATGAAAAAATTGAATATGGACATAAGAGATTACAGTAAGAGAAAGCGTAGGTCTGGATGATTGCTATGTCATGTCTTTAACTCTTTATGTGGGAATTTCTTATAGTATTAACATGTACATTTAGGTAACTATTATTTAACACATGTTTATTTTCACAATTAGATAAAAATTTGTGAGAAAACTTTAGAGATTTGATTACTACTTGCTGTTCATCTTTAGAGAAGTTGTTGTGAGACTGGTCATCAGAAGACCTGAGTAATAAATAGTCTTATCTTTGTCATCAGGTTAGTCTGGTTTATGGTAAAGAGAGAAATGAGGAGCCTGGGAAAAAACACTATCTAAAAATTCTGTTTTTAGGAGGTTCAGAACAATCTGTTAATGGTGTTAATAGGATATGTATGTAAAGATGCAGAGGATTTCAAAAGGCAATTTGTTTGAGGAAGTTATTTAAAACAGAATAGTAACATAAGGCCAAGAGAAAATAGCAAGTATTTCAGAATGACTGGAGTGGTGAATGGAGGAAAATTTGGCAACTAGACCTGTTCAGCTTTTGAAGGATCCTCAGAGTCATTTCCATAAGCTGACTTTTACTTTGAGGTCGTTAGGGCATGAGAATAGTTGTGAGGGGGTGCAGGATTAGGCAGTGTTTTGTTCTCTTGTATAAGGTTTACCCTATGTAGGATCCAGCTGTGAGCACAATCCAACTGAATGGTGCCTTACAATAACAACAAAGTTAGTAGGAGAAGTGGGATTTGGGCAGAAATTATCATCTCTCTCTTAAAATAACAGCTCTGATTGTTAGGCTGAGATTGCTGGTAGGGAGAGCCTGAGTCTGCGAAACCAATTAGATGGCAATTGTAGTATTTCACATGCAAGAAGACGAGTATCTTAATTAGGATAGTGACCCTTAGAAAGGAGCAGATTTTAGGAAAATTAACTGGCTTTAGGATGGACTGGATGTGGACTGTGACAAAATGTATCAAATTGGGGCAAAACTGATGTTTGAGTTGAATGAAATTAGATGGTGCTAAGGCTTGCAGGGCTTGAAAAAACAAAGTTAACATGGAAGAATGAGTAAGATTTTGGACACTGGTGAGTATAGAAGTTCTATGGGAAATCGAGAAGGAAATGGGGATTTCTGAATTTTAGAACAAGCTTAGGTTAGATATAAATCACAGGTACATTGGAGATAATTGAAAGAATGGGAGTACATAAGTTCATTCAGATGGAGAAGGAGAAGCAGTAATGATGGGGATAAATTTATCAGTTTGGGCATTACTTTCATAAGATTGCCAAGCACTGGAATAGCACCAGGGAGGAAGGTTTACAGGATGCATTCCTAATGAACACTGGTATTTAAGATGTGAATTAAAGAGCAAAATAGTCTGAGAGTTAAATGGAGAATCAGGGAAATTAGTCTGGAGACCAAAGGAGAATTAAATGCTATGATATATATGGTCACATAGAGTTAGGGAATTTCATGGGGTTTTTTTTGTAAAATGAAAGACCCAGTTATTCTTAGAGTTCTTCTAGCTCTTTCTACTGGCACTGTGGAGATTTGTAGTTAAGGGATAGGGCTCTACAACTAGCAAACCTGGGTTTGACCTTGGCTTTGGCACTTACTAGCTGTGTGACTTGTGCAAGTCACTTAATCTCTATATCAATTTTCCCATCTGTAAAATGCAGCTTAAATATGAACTCTTACTTGGCTGCTAACCAGAAGCCTGGCGGTTCAAACCCACCAGCGACTCCTTGGAAGGAAGTTTGGGCAATCTACTTCCAGAGTGATACTGCCTCAGAAACCCAAGGAAGGATCCCTATGAGTCGGGTCCGACTCGATGGCACATAACAAAGAACTTCATAGTTATTGTAAAAGGTTAAATAAAAACATGCATGTAAAGTACTTCTCAAACAAAACAAATTTTAGAAATTTTATTATTGTTATTATTTAGCCAGAAGCAGCAGCATTTAGCAAGATAGCATGGAAATGTTTGGGAGAACTTCTGCACGTAGAAGAAAGTAGGGTAGAATATAGACTTTGTAGGAAGGAGCTCTGGTAGCATAGTGGCTAAGACACTTGCCTGCTAACCAGATGGCTGGCAGTTCAACCCCACCAGCCACTCCTCGGAAGGAAGGTTGGGCAATCCTACTTCCGTAGTGATACTGCCTCGGAAACCCAAGGAGAGGTCGCCATGAGTCAGGTTTGACTTGACGGCACATAACAACAACAACAACAACAACATATTGTAAAAAATCTTTTATTCTTTTGAAGCGAATGTGAGATAAATGTGTAATGGGGAAAGACTTCTAATTTTTGTTAATGTTTAGAAGCTAGAGATGAATGAACATAGTTTTGTTTTAGTAGTTTGATATTTTCATTTTCAAATGAGAATATACAGAGATATATTAATTATATATTAATATAATTATCTATTATAATATTAATTATATATTATATAATTATATATTAATATAGTTAAGTGGAAGACCCAGATTTCTTAGACTAAGCTCACTGGCCATGATTACTGTTTTCCATCTCTCCTAAGCATTAGAGAATTAGTGTGTTAAATAGTTGTTTTATTAAACATGGCTCTTATAGAGCATGTTTCTTGCTGATTCTTTACCACAATAAATCAGAACAAAACTCAATGCCATTGAGTCGATTCTGACTCCTAGGGGAACAATAGAACAGAGCAGAACTACCCCATAGGGTTCCCAAGACTGTAAATCTTTATGGAAGCAGGTTGTGTCATCTTTCTCCTGCAAAGTGGCTGGTGAGTTCAAACTGCCAAACTTTTGGTTAGCAACCAAATGCCTTATCCTCTGCACCACCAGAACTAATTCTTTAGCTACAAGTAGACCAATTTGCTGTTGAGTCAACTACAGTTCATGACAATCTCATGTGTATCACAGTAGAATTGTGCTCTATATGGTTTCGATGACAGATTTTTCATATGTAGAGCTAGATCACCAGGCCTTTCTTCTGAATGGACTTGAACCCACAACCTTTAGGTTAACAGCTCAGTGCTTTAACTGATTGCACCTCACCCACCAACACTATCTCTCCCCCACCTCCCAAAAAAAGAAAAGAAAACTAATTGCCCATTGCTACTGAGTTGACTGTGACTCATAGTAACCCTATAGGACAGAGTAGAACTGCCCCAGGGTTTCCAAGGTTGAAATCTTTTTGAAAGCACACTGCCACATCTTTCTCCTGTAAAGTGTCTAGTGAGTTTGAACCCCTGATCTTCTGGTTAAGAGCCAAGCATTTTATCCACTGTATCAACACCCAGGGGTACAGATTATTTAGATAACTGCTTCTTATGGCAGAGAAAACTAGGAAGAATTTCAAAGATATTTTAATATTGTTCTGGAGACACTCTACATGTTAGAGCCTTCACTCCCCCCACAGGGACTTTTTTCCTTCAATTTATATTGAGATATCTGTATCAGTTTAATCTCAATATATATTCGGATCAAAATATCAGAGCTCTTTCTAGGTAGCAGTGACAGTAAAGAACAAATCTATTCCCGTCCCTTTTCGCAGCATGTTTACACTCGTGAAATTAGATTAAAATGGATGTTTGATCATGCCTGAAGGTGAAAATGAGTCAGAAAGGCAGATGGAGCCTAAGGGATGCTGTTTAAGAAGGAAGAATTATATTTGTCTTAATTACATAGTGAGGTTGAGCAATTATTTGCATATAATAATAAAATAATTCCTTAAATTTTAGGTTAATGTGTAACTTCATTATTTCAAATCTTGTTAGTATTATTGTGTAAATATTTTTAAATCTCTCTGTGCTCATCTATGTGCCAGTGTCTTGGAAAACTAGGACAAGGTGTGGTACAGCTCAATTGGAGGCCTCATCCCTTTAATTTTTATGCATCTGCACTGTGAGAGAAACATGCAATGTTGACCTAAGATAATATATTTGATTAATTGGAAAAAGCAGTATAAAATCATTTGAGTTTTGGCTGGTGATCTGAAAGCTAGAAAAATTTAAGGGAAATAGATAAAATTTTATTTTACCTCATAACTCTTTGCTCTAATTGTTGTTGTTGTTGTTATTTGCCATCGAGTCGGCCCCGACTCCTAGCGACCCCTCCTTGGGTTTCCGAGGCAGTTATCATTACGGAAGTAGGATTGCCTAACCTTCCTCCCGAGGAGTGGCTGGTGGGGTTGAACCACCAGCCATCTGGTTAGCAGGCAAGTGCCTTAGGCACTATGCTACCAGAGCTCCTTGCTCTAATTATGAGTTGGCTATATTCATTTATTGTATACTGTCATTAGAATTAAATAAATAATGTCAAATCAGGTTTTTTTCTTTTGAAATAAAAATCAGAAGAAATTATTAAGGAGATGACCAGGAGTGCTTGCTTCATAGTTATTTATGAACATTTTGCTTGTAAATGCCATGTTTCTAAG